TGGAACACATCTGTGATTCCAGTGCTTGGGAGGCAGAAGCAGGATTGAGAATTCGAGGCCAGCCTGGGTTACATGAGAGACCTTAACTCAAAAAACATAACAACAAGCTGGGAGCCTGTGGTTCACGCCTGTAATCTTAGCTACTCAGGAGGCAGAGATCAGGAGGATCACAGTTCAAAGCCAGCACTGGGCAAATAGTTTGCAAGACCCTATCTTGAAAAAACCCATCACAAAAAAGAGCTGGTGGAGTGGTTTGAGGCGTAGGCCTGAGTTCAAGCCCCAGTACTGCACACACACACACACACACACACACACACACACACACACACACACACACACACACACACACGAAAACAGGTGGGGAGGGTAGGGAGGGGGAGAAAAGGACGACCCTGGATTCAAGGTTCCCCTAGAAGGCAGGGTGAAAGGAGGAATGTGGTTGGCGCTGGGTTGAGCTCGGGAGCCTGGGAGGATTGAGGCTGCAGGTGTAGTGAGCCGCCCAGGAGTGACAGGGCAGTCGAGGTGCCCTTAGGCCTGCTGATGGAGCCGTGGGGTGGGCAGCTGGCTGGGGGCTAGAGACGGGGTGGAGGTCCACGCTGAGGAGTCCAGCTTGGCAGGGAGGGCGCTGGTGGAGCAGCACCCATTGGGTGCAGGCGCTGGGCGCTGAAGACATCTGGTGGGCCGTTCCTGGGGATGGCGGAGTGCAGGGGGCTCCAGAGTGAAAGGAGGTGGAGGATGGAGGCAGCGGGATTTGCTGGGCAGGCAGAACAGAAAAAGGACAAGCACTAGGACAGGAACAGGGGACAGAGGCCTTTTTGTTTTTAAGATGGGGCAATTCCAGTTTGCTTCTGTTGATGGGAGAAGGCTGGGTGGTGTCTTTCAGAAGACAAAGGGATTGGGGTTCAGTGTGTACGGGGTGTGAGGGTGAGAGAGAGAGAGAGAGAGAGACAGAGAGAGAGACAGACAGACAGAGAGAGCTCTGACGGGTGCAGGGAGAAGGGATGAAGAAAACCAGGACCCACAGCAGAAAGTGCCGACATTTGGCAGGGGACAGCAAGGGGCTTCTGATCCTTCTTGTTTATATCAATGCAGTAAGGGTGACATCCTCAGTTATGTGCGTGTCTGTGTGTCCGTGTATCTGTCTCTGGGTGTTTGTAAGGACGCGTGCGTGACGTCCCTGACCCAGGCCCAAGTGAAGGCTGGGTGGTTGTTGGGGAGGTTGGTGTTGGGACAGGTGGGTCCCCTGGAGCTGGTGGATTTTCCAGGAACCTCTGGGGTCTGCCCAGAGCCACCAGAGAGGACGGGCCACGTGTCCCATGGTGGTTGTTGCTGGCTCCTTCAGGCCTGGGGACCCTTGACCTGGAGCAGGACACAGTCTGAGTGTTGCTGCCACCTGGTGGCCCAGCCAGGGATAACAAGGCCGCTGCTCAGGAGCAAGGACGTAGCCCCACCTGGTGGTCAAGGGTGGTCCTTGCACCTGTTAGGACCACACACCCGCTGAAGCTGGCGCGATGGCCGCGAGTGAAATCCCAGCTCCAGCTCCTGAGAGGGCACAGCTCTGGTCAAGCCCTGTGGGCCTCAGTCTCCTCATCTGCAGATTAGAGCCAGGCAGGCAAGGACAGGGCCGCTGGAGAGATGAATTAGGCAATGCCCCTCCATGTCACTCATGGTGGCACGCCAGCTGACATGGCAGGACCACCCAAGCCCCTAGAAGCGCACGGAGGTGCTCCACTTCTGACCTCTGCCCCTGTCCCCCCGATCTAGGTTTTAAGACTCATGGCCTACTCCCCACCCCTCTCTTCCTGAAGCCTCCAGGGGTCAGGAGAATCTGTTCTGGAGTGGCCTCTGCCAGCCCAGCTCCCTGGTGTCCCTCTGCTGCCACCGCCCAGCAAAGGACTCCTGTGCAAAGGGTCCTTTCAGGCAGAGGGAAGAGTCAGGAAGCAACAGCACCTCCTGGAGCGGGGCAGGTGCATCAGAGGTCCAGCAGCACAGCCTAGGCTCTGTGCCCTCCCCATGCCAGGGGGCTCCCCAGGGCACCTGCCCATTCCTCATCCAGGAGTCACGGTACCCACCAGTGCGGGTCCTCAGAGGTGGGTCCGTGTTATTTCACCCCCAACCGGTCCACCTGCAGCTCTGCCTCTGACCCAGTCCTGGGCCCTGTGGGCCAACACTGAGCCTCCTGTGCCCAGCTCTGCCCCACACGTGCAGCAGGAACGGGAGACTTCCCTTGGTTCCTTGGAGAGGCATGGTGAGGGGCAGGGAGGGAGAGGGGAGGCAGCATCAAGCCTCAGGGCCACGGGCTCTCCATGTGCTCCTGTCTCCAAAGAGATAGCTCAGCCCTGGAGATAAAACTGGCAAATGGGCCCTGCTTGAGAGAGGGGGGAGGGAGCTGGGGACCAGGAGCTATTCTTAACTTTTTGGCCTCATTATGGCCTGCACCTCTGGGAGGCACCTATGGCCCCCTTCTAGACAATACCCGCAGCATAGGGAGCAAACTGGATGAGGGCCAAGCAGGGACGCGTACACGTCAAGACAGTCACAGAGAGGAGGGGAGATTGTCCAGACACACAGACAGGTCCGTATAGGTACACATACCCCTCACCCAGACACGGATACCCATGGAGACAGCTGCACATGTACACACATGCACAGGGCTTGTTTGTTTTTTTTTTTTTAGTAATGGGGTTTGAACTCAGGGCTTACACTTTGAGCCACTCCACCAGCCCTGTTTTGTGATGGTTTTTTTTGAGATAGGGTCTCCAGAACTATTTGCCCTGGCTGGCTTCAAACTGAGATCCTCCTGGTTTCTGCCTCCTGAGTAGCTGGGATTGCAGGCGTGAGCCACTGGTGCCTGCCTTGTGGGTTGCTGTTGAGCCCTCCCTCCCAAAGTCCTATGAGGTCAGTGCTGGACTGGATCTGGTGTCACCTTGGTGAATTCCAGGTGGAGCTTCAGGGCTGGGCCTCTGGCCTTCAGTTGGAGGATATGCTAGGGCCATCAGGTGGTGATTGCTGTCATTATCTCCTGTCATTGCTGTGTCTTCTGTCACACCACCCAGAAAGAAAGCCCCTGTGAAGGATGAGTAGGTCTGCCCAGCAATGGCACAGTGAAATGTCTTATCCTGCCTCGAATGAACACACACACACACACACACACACACACACACACACACACACACACATTGTGGGGGTGGCCCAGGGCAATTCTGATTGTTTCTGAGCAGAAGCCTGGGGTAAAGCTGCCCTGCAGGCTGCTCTAGCTAGGCCTCCAGGTGTCCCTTTGCTAAGCAGATGACATGTGACACTGCCTCAGGCTCACCGAATGCAGGAACACTTTTTCTGCCTCATGAATTTCATCTCGTTCTGTGAGTGCCGAAGCTGAGGGGTGGCTATTTCTGGGTCATGGTCAGCCAGGTCCATGCACACAGGCCTCCTTGCACACAGGCCTGAACTTGACCCAGCTGTGGGTCAGCTTCCCTGGCTTTCTGAGCTTCTGGGCCTCTGTCTTCCTAGCTTCCAGGAGTCCCCTGAGGCCCTCAGGACCTGACTGCTCTCTGCTCCTCTGTCTCAGGCCACTTCCAGCTTGACCCAGAGGGGAGACCTTACTGCTGCTCAGGCATCCCAGATGGAGGCCTGAGGGGGTAGGCTTCAGCCTCAGCTCTTTGTCCTACCTGCACAAGGCTCCAGAGCCCACTGTGGAGGCAGAAAGGGGGACAGAGTGACTCAGGCCAGCATGAGTCTGGCTGAATTCCAGCAGCGCCTCCCCCAGGGGACCTGGCTTCTGTGTCATCTCCTAGGGGTCCAGCAGCATCTCCCCAGCTAGGGGCAACAGAAAGAGAGCAGTCTCCTGGGAGGACCCACAGAGAGACTCAGGGGGACAGGCAGAGGCTCCTGGCAGAGTCAGCTGACAGACAAGCACAGGACACCCGACTCGCCGCCCCCATCACTTCCTTCCCGTTCCAAACAGAACCCAATACAGCCACAGTCGCACCCACACTCTAACCTCCAACAAACACCTCCTCCAAGACCATCCCAGCATCACCCTGGCTTTTGACACTTTCAGAATCATTGCTGGCGTGCAACTGGATTCTTCTGGAGGAGACGTTTCCTTTATGACTATTTCCCCTTCCTGGGTAGTCCTTGCTGCCCTGAGGTGCTTTTGCCAGATGAATGGAGCCACATCGGGGACAAAGGTCTGCAGATGACAGCTGTAGGCCCTGCTTAGACCAGAGCTCCAGGAAACCAGGGACAACATCACTCTCTAGCAGGATAGCCGTGTCCGTGAGACTTGTGTGCAGGACACCATGGACTCGCAGTGACAGTTTCAGTTAGCAGCTTGTGCCGACAGCCACTGCTCTAGAGTCCTCGGAGAGCCCTCTGCAAGATATGCATCGAGAAGGGACTCCAATGCGCCCCTGCCCTGGGCTTCCCTGTAGCAGGACCTGCAGGTGCCTGGCTCACTGTCCTGGGAGACAGAAAGAACTGGAGAAAAGATGGGGGAAGGTCCCTGTGTTCCCACAGCAGCACAAAGGGGACACTGATGCTCTGAAAACCATGTGCTTTATTTGGAATCTCCCCCGGGGGTCATAGAAAAGCTGCAAACCATGAGGTTTGGTACAAGGCCATGATTAAGGGACCATACATCATCCCTAAGTGCTGGGGCCCTCTCCTCTGGGCCTCAGACTTCCCTGGTCATCTTAGCTCTTGACTGAGCTCCTGGGGCATCCAGTCACAACCTTAGCGTCTCCCTCAGCTGGGGAGTGAGGACATGGATATGGGACAAGAGCCAGGTCCCCATCCAAGGTCTGGGGCCTCTGTCTCCCACCTAGGACCTGGACAGCTGATAACCCAGGCCTCAAGGATCCTCTGAGCCCTCCGAGCCTCCGAGCCCTGTGGCTCTGGATCCAACTCAGCTCTCGGCTGTGCAGGGTGGGAGGCCCCGCGCATGCGCGCAGGTGAGCGCGCAGGGACCGCCCCCCCCCCACGACAGCTGGCCACGCCCCTCAGTGCAGGTCCGCGAAGGGCCTGGAGTAGTTGAACATCAGGTAGTCCATGTAATAGAAGTCGTAGGCGCGCTGGCGCTGCAGGGCAGAGAGCTGGGCGAAGTACCGGTGCGTGATCCGCGCGGTGGTGCGCGCCTCCTGCGAGTGCCTGTCCTTGAAGCGCGGGAAGGTCAGGTTCCGCGGCGCGTGGATGAGGCGCAGGAAGAAGTTCGCATCAACCTCCATGCTCTCAAACTTGCCCACGAAGTCATAGTCGATGAGGCAGGGGCTGCACAGCCGGCTCACGTGATCCCAGTGGATGTCCATTCCCACGGGCCGGTGCACGTCCAGCAGGTACTGGACGAACTCAGGGAACCGCACGCCAGAGCCCGTCCGCAGCGCCTCCCGCGAGGCGTTGGCCCGGTACCGGGCTAGGATGGCTTTGCCAAAGACAGGGTGATAGTAGCTATTGGGGTGCTCGAACTTGTCGCGGAAAGCAGAGACCAGCCTCTCGAAGGGCTCGCGGACGAAGAGCATCTTGGTGTAGGTGCTGAGGCGGTGCAGGATGCCCTGGCGATCGAAGGTGTCCAGACGCCTGAGGGCACTGCCATAGTGGACCGTGTTGTGCTGGATGTCCGCGGTGGATGAGGCCAGCCCGGCTAGCACCATCAGCACCCGCTTCCAGTTGGAGCAGCCCGCCTTGGGCACCTCGCAGTAGAGGACACGGTGGCGGTCCTCCACGAAGATGCGGGACACGTGGCGGGGCGTGATGGCCCTGCGGCTGCTGCTCGCCCGGTACTTGGCACAGGCCTCCCGCATCACCCGCTTGCGCTCCTGCTGGCTGCGGTGTAGACTGACCCAGTGACTGTCCAGAGCGCGGGGACCCGGCCTGAGAAAGGTCTCAGATGAGCCATTGGTCCCGATGGCCACCGCAGCTGGCATCTTTTTGATAAGCAGCCTCCGGCGGCGCTGCCGGAGTCTCTTTGGGTGGGGTCGAGGCTGGTCAGGCACCTGCAGGTGGAGGCTCCTGGGGACCCGGGTGGACAAGTCTCGGGTGACCCTGTCGGATGATGGTACTTTTAAGTCGCCATCCTGGGAAGTGCCTGGTTGGAGGTCCTGGGACAAAAAGAGAGATAGTTACCAGGGTGGACAGGACACTGGGCACAGAAGGTCTGGCAGGTGTTTCTTCCCTCTCTCTGGCTTGGGCTTTTCCTCTGACTGACGGAGAGAGACAGGCCGATCTTGCAGGAGTGACCTTCCTGTTGGAGTCTTTGTCCAGCATTCTGGACCACAAATATGGGTCTGAGGTGCAGGTGTCATTCCTACCACGAGATGGTGCACTATTCACAGGAAACCCTGCCTGGCCAGGGTGGGCAGAAGAAGCTGGTGGCTGTGACCATCAGCACAGCCCAAAGGAGTCATCTAACAGGGAAGGGAAACTCATGGATCCAAAGACCTGGGCTTTGTTCCCAAGGCCCCTGGAAAGGAGCAAGCACGTTTTTCTTTCTAAGAATAGATTCCCCGCCAAGCTGCAAATCTTCTTCCCCCCTTCCCCTCCCCTCCAGCCCGCCCAGCTGTGTGCTGGGATTTAGCTGACTCTCTGAACTTACAGTGTGAGGCTGCTGTGCTCTGATGTTGAGTTTCATTCCTGAAAAGCAAACAGAGGACAGTATTAGCAGGAGAAGTGCCACCTGGCTCCTAGGGACCTGCTCAGACTTAGTCTCCCAGGTGGGAGGGAGCATGGGGTGAGCTTTGGGAAAAGGCAGTTTGGGGAGAGGGCAGAAGGGGGGGATCTGGTTCAGTGTTGGAGCCCTTCCATCTCCTACACACATGGAGCAAAGGTGTTTCTCTCTACCTGGCCTCCCAATAGACACCTGCCCAGGTGTACCCACACACCTGCACAGTGGTACAGCCAGGGCTCCCACAGACCATCCTCTGCCTCACCTCACCCTGCCATTTAAGTCACAAGGAAAAGGCCTTTCAGAGAGCTCTCCATCCCTTCTCCTGGTTCCAGTTCCTGTGGATGCTCTGCACTTGGAATGTGACTCATGGCGCCCAGCATGGCTGAGGACAGAGCACTGCTTCCCTCATACTCCGGGAAGTTCTCTGGCCTGGGCCTTCTCTTTGTAACTTTGGCCTTTTCAGCTGTGTCTGGCATTCTGGCAGGGGGTCCTGGCCATATCTGGCTACACTGGTTCCCCCCCACCCCACCCCCCGGCCCCCACCTGGCTGAGCAGAACTCAGGCATAGAGAAACTGCCCAGGAAGCACTTCCTGGTGACTTGGGGGAAGATGGAGAAGATTCACTCACTGGGCCAAGCTCCAGAATGTCCCCTTTGACCATCAAAGTGTCCTTTCCCTATGACTGGGTTGGGGTCACCCAGGACAAGAAGCTCTTGTGAGGTGAACTGTCAGCCAGGGGAGAGAATTCTACTTCATACTCTGATCTGTTTTGGGGGAAGTTCTGGGAAGGACAGATTTCAGTCTGGAGGAGCCCACTCAGCAGTCTAGGCTTCCTCTCTGGAGCTCCACCTGGGCTGTTTCTGCTCCTCGGTCATATGGTGGACATTTGTGCTTTGAGGTTTTGTAGGAAGCCACAGTCCCAGACAAAAGCAGCCACCCCTAAACAAGCAGCAGGCCAGAACTTTGAGCCAGCACGGTGGGCACTGCCCCAGCGACACCTGACAGGGTCCTGACCACTGCTGGGGACAGGAAGGGGATGGTTCTGATGGGCCAGCACTTCCCCTGTTGTCTCTGTACTGGGAAGAGAGATGCCCAGTGACTGATGCCCACTAGTGTACTGGTGGAGGGACACTCAGGTCCTCCCTGACCTGGAGACTCTGTGAATTTTCCCATGGGGGTCAAGATTTGCAGAATCAGCCAGTGCCGGGGCCTTGACCACCTGCTGGCCAGTCTAAGGCCATGCCCACACATCTTCATTTATTAGCAAGTGATAAGGGTGGACAAAGGTCACCTCCGGGCTGGAAAGCCCACATTCCCTGAGATTTCTGGAACTTTCAAGTCCTAAGAGAGGCAGAAACAAAGGCAGAACATGGGGACCCAGTTCTTTCTTTTGCTGACCTTCTGGGACAAAGAGAAAGGTGTCCACCTTCTTGGGCAGTGTGTGTGTGTGTGCGTGTGTATGTCCGCTTACATGTGGCAAAGCTATGATAAAGTCTTCTAGTCTCTTCCATGGAGACGGAGGGGGAGCTCCCTGTGGAACTGGGGTGAGCAGCAGGTGCCTGATCTTAGAATGAAGCTCTCACCAGTGTCCTCAGCCCTGGAGAACCTGTGTCCCTCCTCCCCATCCACTCCCTTTCCTCTTCCCATCCCATGTTCTCTGCCTCATCTCCAGTGTGAGCCTCCAGAGCTCATTTCTCTCTGGCGGGTGGGGCCTCTCTCCTGCAGCCAACAATGACAGATCTCACCAGAAAGGACCCACTGCAGCCGCTCCGTCTTTTTCTATACCACCGGGTTTCCTTAATTATTTTCTTCTGGTGATGGCAGGTGGCTTTGCTAAATCACCTCTCCATCTCAGAGTCTCAGAGATGGGAATTTACTCTGCTTGTCACTCCTGTCAACTTGTCAAGGTGTGATGGTGTTTATTTATATTCCTTTTTCTGGAGCAAATGACTCACGCTAGTTGTGACCAGGAGTGGGGTTGAGGAGCCTCTTCCAAAGGCCAGCCAGTGAAGTTGGAGAAGGATGTGCTCATTAGGGTTGTGGCCCCTGTTCCCTTTCATCTGTGCAGAGTGGACAGGAGGTGCTGTCTTCTACATGTCCAGGCTCTGAGCTTGAGGGAGCTGGCCCACTTTGAGGCTGGCTAGGCTGAAGCCCTTGGCACAGGCTGGAAGGTAACTTCTCCTTGAGTCTGGGTGAGGCTTCTTATGTCTTGGCCACATTTACTCACAGGGCCAATCTGGCTGCAATTGCCCCCCGTGAAAAGAAAAAGTGCCATTGGACAGTAGCAGGTAATAAGCCCGTGAGTGTGCCTTAAGCTGTATGTTCCCAACCCTTAAACTCGGGGTAGCTCACTGGTAAAGATGAACCCTATTCCCACACTGCCCTGGGTAAGCCAACGCCAGGAAGCCTGGGCTGAACCTGGGGTGTGTGCCCCAGCCGGCTACACTTCAGCACCACGGACAGCTCTGCAGAGAGCCCAGGCAAGGGCTGCTAGGGGCTGCACCCCTGAGAACTGGTACTGGTGCCATGGGATACTTCAAAAGTGTGTGTGTGTGTGTGTGTGTGTGTGGTGTGTGTGGGGGTGGGGTCTTTGGTCTTAATGCAACTACCCTACACCCTCCCAGGTAAATAGATGATCTAGATAAGAATAGTGACCTTGCTGAGCACCTCCCCCGTCTCCCACCCCACCTGGGCACAGGATTTCTCCAGATCTCAGCTGGGTTTCCTGCCCACTGCTCTCAATATAGCATTAAAAATCTGTAAGGAAGCTATGTCCCCGTGTGCAGCAAAGAAATAAACAACCGCTTTCTCCTCTGGACAGATGACATCGTCGAGTGGCTGAAAAACATGCAGGACGAGAAGAGTGAGCATCGGCGAGAATAAACAAGGCATGAGTTATGGGGACTGCCGAATGCGTTCCACACACTGAACTCTTCATTGGTGGAAATTTTTCTTCTTGATGCTGGGCTGAGCAGCTTCCTAGTTACCTGCTAAGGGGAGGTGAAGGCTGACAGGGATGTGACGACAGGCCAGTCTTCTTCTGCCAGGCTGGGGATGGAACCCAGAGCCTCATGCATGCTAGGCAAGTGCTCTACCAGAGACCCACACTCCTATCTCTCAGGCCTGGCTTTTTTCTTTTTTTGCAGTACTGGGTCTTACACTTGCTAGACAAGTGCTCTGCCTCCTGAGCTCCATTCCCAGCCCTGTTTCTTTTGTTGTGGTTGAGTTAGGATCTTGCTATATAGCCCAGGCTATCCTCTTGCATCTCCAGAATGCTGAGACTACAGGTGTGCATCACTACACCCAGCTTGGGGCCAGTTTCTTGACAACCAGGTTGTGCAGTTGGGTCTGGGGACATCGCTGGAGAGGGGGATTCACCAGCATGGGGGCTGTGGTGGAAGGGCTCATAGGAAGTCCTGCTGGGTACCACACCACAGCTCCATTCCTGATGCCCTGGGCCCACTAGGGGTGACAGTTGGGATCCAGCCTTCTGCTCAGGTTACGTAACACCAATGGGTGGATAGAAAAAGCACACAAGTGCCTAGAAAGAGCTGGAAGTACCTTCAGTGCCCGTGACCTTCCCCAGCCCCAGGTGGATCACACTTGAGGGTAGCAGCTGCTTGGGCTTCTACAATCCCAGCTCCCAGCCCTGGTAGGCTGTGTTGAGAGGGTCTTGCTATTCTGGACCCTGTGGCCCAAAGAGACAACACCATCGTGAAGGAGGCAAACCCACAGAGGGACAGGCTTGTGAAAACTGTGGGGGCCAGGGGAGGCCAAGGGTGGGCATTAGTGTCCAGATCCTGCTGTGTGGAATCTGACTCATGGTCCTTGGGTCCTCTCCTCCCCTCATCAACCTGTTTCCCTGGTCACTTTTCTGTGTCCTGGATCTTCTGGCGGCCAAGTCTGTGTAGCAAGCTGCCCCTGCCTCCATTCAAACTGTTGATTCACGTGTCCACTGGGTTGCCCAACAGATTCGGGCACTCCCAGGGCTCAGAGATGCCCTCCTTGGCTCAGGCTGGCCCAGTGTTGGGGAGACACTGGAGCAAAGCCCCAGATGTAGCTTGGTTCCCTGCATGTGCACCACCCTGAGCCTCAGCCCTGGTCCCACCCAGATTCCCAGCAGGCATGGGGGTGAGCTGGAACACTGGGGCAGTGCTCCCATTTCTACTTCCAAAGGAGAAGTCTCCTTCACCTGACATATGCTCCAGGAAGGCCTCTGGGATGTGAGGTGGCCCTGAATGACAGCACATGAGGCCTGGGGCAGGGGTGCTGGCAGCAGAAAAGGCGGCCAGGTGGGCGCAATGCCCACTGGGCTCAAGGAGAAAGCTGAAGTGAGCTGCTGGGCCCCATTCCACAGGAAATATAGACGCTTCTGAATGAGGGGTGTATTCCTTCAGATTCTGCCAAAAAAAAAAACCCAAAAACCAGACCTGAGAGGATCTGATGGAGAGAGAAAAGGGGGGGAAAGGGAGAGGGGAAGGGAGAGAGTTTAAGAAGTTGGCAGACTGGAATCTGCAGGCTGGAGATCCAGGGAAGAAGCTGATACTGTAGGTCAAGTTCAAAGGCAGTTTGGAGGCAGAATTTCTTCTTGTTCTGAGAACCTTAATCTTTTCTCTTAAGGCCTTCGACTGTTTGGGTGAGGGTTATCTGCTATTCTTATTGTCTGATTTAAATGTTAATCACATCTTTAAAAACTGCCTTTACAACAACATCCAGACTGGCGTTTGATCAAAACACTGGGTCCCTCCTACAGCCGAAATTGGATTGGATTGGATTCCTGTGACTTCTGTTAACAAGATAGCACAAATTGATACAAAATAACAAAAAAGTATTCTGTCACATTCTAGCGTAAAGTCTGGAAGTCTGAAGGGAAGGTGTTGACAGGGCCACACTCGCTCCAAGCCTCTGAGAGAGGAGTCTTTCTGCCTCTCCTGCTCTGGCATCCCCAGGAGGTCCCTGCCTGTGT